TGTAAAATTAAAGTCATGGTGCAAAGTACCATGGTATAATGAAATGGTATAGGGTTTCCTGCCTGAGCAGGGGGTTGGACTAGATGGACCTCCAAGGTCCCTTCCAACTTTATTATTATTACTAGCTGTACCCGGCCACACGTTGCTGTGGCTCAGTCTGGTTAAATGGAAAAGATGTCACAGGTGTGACATCTATATAATAGTAGGTATATAAAAACACACGCGTATTCGAATTTATTTATTTTCATTAACAATGCAACGTTGTGTCAAAATTTCAAAGCAATCGGTGAAAGAACTTTCGGAGATTTAAGATTTTGAACAAACGAACATTTACATTTTTATTTATGGAATATAGATATAGATAGAATATAGAATATAGATTATAGATAGATATAGATAGATTATTATTAAGAGTTGACCGGTCACCCAGAAAGCCATGTAAAATAGTATTATTAAGTGAAGGAGGTTACAGTTATAAAGAAATTAGAAGAAAAATGGGTGGAAACTTAACCAAAGGTGGCATGTCTACTGTGCACTTTTCCCAAAAGGTTTCCACAATTTTGGCTGCTCCTGTAGCTAACATGGTTGGGTGGTCTTCAAAACGGCTCAGTTTTTAATTTTTTTAAAAAATAAAACCTAGTTTTCCCAAAGCATTTTGGACCTTGAGCGTCGATGCGAAGGACTCGACAATTTCCCTAGAGGCAAGGTAATGAGTTTGGGGTGAGGAAGAATTATCTGCTATGGGGTGGGGAAGGGGGGTGGATGTAGATCAGAGCTGGAGATGCCTAAACATACATACTTATTACGGTGTTTTTTTTTTTCTGTTCACTGACTCGGATTTTTCTTAGAAGCCCCCCCTCCCAACCCCCCCCCCCTAGGAAGGTGAAATTGGTGCAGAAGGAAACGAAACGCAGGGAGGGAGGGAGGAAGGAGCAGCGCTGGAGAATAAAAACGATACCTTGTTTTTGAAGTAGACCTCAATGGGCATAATGAAGCCCGCGTAGCCGGACTCCTCCACTTTGTAAGGGGGCTCTTTACAAACTGTGAGGGGGGGGGAGGAAAAAAAAAGGAGCGTTAACAAGACTTCCCAGGCAGCAGCAGCAGCAGCCTCTGTAAAGCAGACAGGGACGAGAATTAAAACAGGGTGACCAACGGCAAGATGCTCCGCTGCCCATAATACGACCTGCAGGCAAGTTCAACATCCCCACAATCACGGGGTCAAAGGGATCCCCTTTTGCACGACCTTCTGACAACGGTGGTCAGATCGGGCGTAAAATGGGGCAAAACTCACCTAAACAAATGTTTCACTCAGCAACATAAATCTGGGGCTCCATTTGGTCGTTAAGTCGGGGACTGCCTGTACTTCCCAACCTGGCGAACCACAGGTTATACCCAAGCAGCCCATAAGAGCATCCCTCTGCCCAGAGACCGGGTCGCAAACGTGCCTCTTGGTCCAAGGTACAACCCCCCCACCCCCCGCACGGCCGGGCACGCCCGCAGGCCCACTCACCACGTTTGGGTTTAGGGAAGCTCTGATGGAGGCGGAAGACCACCCTCTCCACAAAGTGCTGGATTTCAAACTGCTCCGGGCCGCGTACAAAGACCATCCAGTCGTGGGTGAACCCTTCAGTGGTGGGCTTTTTGCGCAGCTGGGCACGGTGTCCAAGCTCCAACTTCACCTGGACTGTACACTAGGAAGGGGGAAGGGGATGTGCGCAAGGGGAGCAAAGGAGGGGCAAAGGAAGAGGAGGAGGAGGAGGAGGAGGA